AGAGGTAATTGGATTAAATTGATGTTCTTCCTTCTGGGATTCAGCAAAGCCCACAAACGCCTCCTTAAAGTGATAGAATATCGGGTCGTTTCCAGGACGCGTCTTTCCAAGGCGCTTTTCTCCCGGCACAAAGGCCCGTGAGCCCATCACCCTGCGCCGGGCCAAGTGTGCCCGAGAAGGGACAGAGGAGGGCTAGGGCGCTCTGCTTGAGAGGGCAAGTGCTTCTGCAGGGCAGGGAACCGCCGGCTGCACAAACCCCGCTTCTGTAAACACAAAGAAAGGGGGCCTGGGGAATAGAAACCCAAATCCACTTGTAATCGTACAAGAGAATCGGGCGTAATTACTTGAGCAACCTAGATGAAGATTGATGAGGCTTTAAAGCGGCGTTTCGGATCGATCCCCCTGCCCTTTGGAGCCTCCAGCCGGGCTTCCCCGGCTCGGATCGGCTCCTTTCCCACCGCCAAGGGAGAGAGAGAAGATGGAGGCGAGACTGGGAGAGCAGCAAGGCAAGCCCGGCGCATGTGATTCCGATCAGCTGACTGGGGTCAAGAGGCTACCTCGGTTTATTAGGAGATGGAAAACAATAAAATGAAAGAAAATAGAGTTTGTATCAATATTATCCCGTCCGCCACGCTGGGCTGCTGAAAGCTGTCACTGAAACTGTGCGTTTCAGCTTCCCCCTGTACGCGCAGCAATCCCTGTCTTCCTCTTTATTTATTTTGCAGCGTAAATGACAAAATATTGAGCAATAAGGGCTCAAATTGGGTGTTACAGTAAAGTAAAGCATTAACAACATGACAGTTAGATGCGCCGATACAGGAGTAATTTGGGCTAAGTGAGTAATTTGAAGTGCTGCCTGCGAGCGCTGGAAGTGCAGTGTGCGGGCAGCGCCGGGGGAGGAGGACAGGGCGCATCCCAGGCGCTGGCTCCGGTGCAGCCGCAGCCCCGGGCCCGGCTCGGCCGCCCCAGCGCCCGCACGGCGCTGCTGGAGGGGCGAGCGGCCGGGAAGGCAGCGGGAGGCTCACGGCTCTCTGCCCTCTGAGCAGGGGTCCCCTTATTGCAAGGGACATTTTTAGCTGCGTGTAACAGCCAAACCCTGTTTGGTGCCTCCTGAGATGGTCAGTTGGCCAGTTTGTAAAAGGCGCATCAGTCAGGTGGCGTACCCAGCTTCTCAATACTGGAGTTTTATTGTTTAGGTGTCAGATGCGTGTTTGTACACGTTTGTGGCTCTGTGTGTTTATGTATGTATATACAAATTATCCAACAGGCTTTCATGGTTAAATCTAGAAGAATATTTAATACATAATATTTTCTTCGAAGCAAGTGAGCTTCCTAAGCACGGCCACTGTCAGCTTTAACAGAAGAGGACGTTGATGTTGAAGATAAGATGATGAAAAAGCGATCCTCTTGTCTTTTGGATTAAAGAAGGGTTGTTTTGATTTTTGTTTTCCTGAGTTAAAATCTAACAATTTGCGTGGAGAAGGTTGCCTTTTACAATAGGTGTTCCCCATCCCATCTTTTCAATGCCCGCGAAAGCGTCTTGTTAAGGAATATATTTGAGCGAAGTATTGTTGTAGTAATTTTAAAAGGATAAGCGGCAGCGAGTTGAAACAAAAATTATCGTGCCGTAAATGTATTTAACCATGCTAGCCTTTATGTGCATGGGGTATTGAAATAGGTGACAAAAAAAAAAAAAGGGAAAAAAACCCAAAACCCAAACAACTAAACAAACCCCCCTGGTATTTGGCGTTACTTGTCCGAGTTGAGGTCTGGATCCAGACTTAAAAATAATGTCCCCAGGGCTCGCAGGGTCAGTGCGGCGGGCAGGGGCTGCGGGCTGCCCTGCGCTGCGCCCCCGGCCCGGCCCGGCCGCCGCAGGGACCCCGCGCTGCCGGATCCAAGCGGGGCGGAACGAGCGGCCGCTATCGCACATGAACAGCGGTAGCGTTAACGAGGAGCAAAAGGGCATGAAAAGAGAGGGGACCTTCTTCTAAGAGGCAGCTGTTTTTCACCCTAACCCCTCTGAATTTCGCTGCTGTGATTTATCTCGCAACCCCGGAGCTCACAAACTCGCCTGTGCCCCGGCCGCGGAGTTCAAAGCGCTGGCCGCGGACAGGAGGGGAACGAACACGGCGTTTACAAACTGGGTTTACGAGGGGGCTCGCCGGGCGCTGGCTCGGCCGAGGGAAGGGCCACCGGGGATGGGCCGGCCGGGCGCCTCCAACCTGACGCCGCTGCCCTTGCCTTGCAGGCCCCGTGGTGCTCAGCACGCCGGCACAGCTCATCGCCCCCGTGGTGGTGGCCAAGGGGACGCTCTCCATCACCACCACAGAGATCTACTTCGAGGTGGATGAGGATGACTCGGCCTTCAAGAAGATCGACCCCAAGGTGAGTGCGGCGTGCGGGCAGGCGGCGCGGTCCCGGTTCCCGTCCCCGATCCCGGCACACGTGCGCCGGGGCCGCCCCCTCATTCCAAACTCCGCTCCTTTCGCTGCATTTAAAAAAAAAAAAAAAAAAAGCGCAATGTATTAATGATGTTAAATCCTCTATTACGGCAGCGTACGCGGTTTCCAGCAGCCTTTCTCGCGGTGCCTTTGTATGAACGTGGTCAGATTTAGTAGTTAAGCCAATTGCTCTGAAATCCCTGGAGGGAGCAGCAGTCCTAGCCCGCAGCCTTCCCGAGACACAGCGGAGGGTTTTACGCCTTCCGAGGTTCTCGGAGAATCCGTTATTTCAAAAACGTTAGTTTCTACGTAAGAAAATACGGCGCATTTTGTAAACACTCTGTAACTGCTGAAATGAAAGTTAACGCTTGTTTTCTGGGGGAGAAAAGAAAATGGGGGAGGGGGGAACAGACATGTACCGAGGAGTTGGTTCCTGGGAAAGCTCTGGTTTTTTCTGAAGTCATTTACTACTACCAATTCCCCAGCGCCGCCCCACTTCCCCCTCCCTTCCGTGAAAACCTCCAGCGGAGCGGCACCGAGCGGGGAGGGGTGCGTGACTTGCGCGGAAACCTTTGCGTGGCTTTGTCCCCGCGGGAGCGGCGCGGGGGATGCCACGCGGGGCAGGAGGGGCAGACAGAAGGGACGTGTCTGACAGGGCGCTCCTCTCGTCTGCGTGTCTTTTTATTCTTATGGCTCTTACTTTATTCCTTTGCTATTGCACTGGAAAATGTTGGAAGAGAGGAAATAGGAGAGGTACTTTTACAAAGACCTTGGGGTTGGGGTTTTTTAATGCAGAAATATTATAAATAGTTTCCAAGAAAACTCCTCGTCTGAATGTGTTTGCAATGAAGTGATTTCTGTTCGGTGAATAATTTGTCAAACTCGGAGCTTTCTTCGCAGTGCCCGGGTAAAAAGTTTCTGTCAGAATCTCTGGGTATAACAGTTTCGCTAAAGTGCACCCACTGGAAATAGCTGCTAGTGGGTGTCGCACAGGAGATCGGCCTCTTTCAGCACTTGTTGACTATCAGGATCCTAGTCAAAATCCGCGTTGTTAATTTGCGTTTTGATTTAAAAGCCATTTTAAAGAAATGCACCCTGAGAGGGACCAGGCAGTGCGGTGCAGACGGGCGGCTTTGGATTGCGTGCAGTTTTGTAAGCACACACATGTTATTCCCTCTGACTGCCCTGGGAGCTGAGGGGCTTGATTTCTGGGAGTGGAGCTGGCAATCTTATCACATTCGTAACCGATTTGTAGGTCAGAAGTAATATTGTTGTTCACTTTATTGGTGCTGGCTCTCACCTATAAATTTTATTTTCTGCTTTATTAGTACCTGCACCAAATTGCTAGTTGTATCAGGATCACTGCTTGCAAAAAACACTGCTTCACAGACACCTTGTGTTTCCTCGGCTTTGTTCAAAAGCCAGCAGAAACACAACAGCACCGTATAATAAACCCTTCAAAACAGACTTTTTTCCTGACGGCTGAAAAAGTGTAACTGTATTAATAAGTACGCTGGTGTCTGACAGCTGATGATGGTGATCTGGAGCTAAATTCCAATATGCTTGTACAACCAATATTTCCCTATTCTACAAAACTATTCCAAATGCAAAGTCAGGACCCTGCCCTTAAGTTTTCTGCTTTACAGGACTTAGGCAACTATCCACAGAAAGGAAAAATCTGCAAAACATAGCTGCCTCTTGTTTTTCAAGTGAAAAACTTGATCCGATATTGAAAGGCTTACCCATATGCATTTTACTTCATTTATTAGCTTGTAATTAAATAAATCAGCAACAGAAATTAAAATCTAAATCACAAAAAGTAATTATCCAGTGTATTTCAAGTGCATTTTCAAATATATAATTCCAATATTCAAGCGTTATTATATAAGCAGAATCCAAATTTCTTTTGAATATATTTAAATAACATTTCAAGTATATTTATGGAATGTTAGAAATAGAACAAGCAATATATATGAAACGAAAAAATGTAAACTTGTTAAGTTCAGACACTTCAAAAGACAATTAACAAAAGTACCGTGATAAAATCTACCTTTTTAAATGGTATCTTCTTTTTAGCAGAAAATGTCCTTGAAGTATCCAAAATGGCAATTTAACTTCTGTTCACCAAATCACAAAACACCAACATCCACAATTTCAAAGACAATGTGAGATCACAATATTTGATACAAATTAAAAGGTACATTAGGGTTTGTTCAGGTGGCATATCCAAATAGCTTTTACTCACAGAAGGTTTACATAAAAATACCGGGTTTTATTATAATCCGTTGGTACCGTTTTTAGGCAGAATGGTCACAATCAAATTACGGCCAATTTTCATTTCCAGGTAACACACTTTCATTTTTTTTCTTTCTTTCTTTTTTTTTTTCTTTCTTTCTTTTTGTTTTTCCCCCACGGGGAACTGCAAAACTGTGACGAAGAGGAACGATGCTTGCTGTTCTCATTTGCTTTTCTTTGTGAAGAGCCTAAGCTATATTCCTTTTTAATTATTTGCATTGTCAAGTGGAAATATATGACTTTTCAAACAGGCATCTTAAACTTCATCGGGAAATTAGCAGATTTATCGGTCAGGCCGGTTTTATAGTTACCCTCTAAAGTTTCTCCAAACTTTTCGGGTTGGTTAGTATTTCCCTAGCCAGTCGCCACGTTTGTTTGGCCGCGTTTTCCAGGGCCGAGTGAGGTTTGCCCTGAAAGAGGTCTAAGTTGGGCAAGAAGTAGTGCGGGCACCTCCTGCACTGGAGGCACGAGATGAGCTGCAGTAAAATCCCGTTGAGCCGGTCCCCCAGGCACGACTCGTCCCAGTCCGATTCGCGGGGATGCTTTTCGCATTCGTAGGAAACCAGAGTCTTCATGTGATAATTATTCAGGGGCTGGCCCGGCAGCTCCAGGTGACGGTCCCGTAAGGTTTTGAGGATGGAGAGGCATTTCTTCCTGCAGCCGCCCATCTGCAGTCTGTTCTCAGCTTCCGCGAACTGCAGCACCCAGGCATCGCTCTCGGCCGAGCTCTGCTTGCCGGCCAGAGAGTGGCACTCCTTGGACAAGAGGTTGAAGCCTTCCGCCTTGACCTCCGCCACCCGGTTGGGTCCCGGCCAGGGGATGTGGGGAAGCGGCCAGTGCGCAGCACTCCGCGGCCAGATCCCCGTGCACTTGAACGCTGGAGTGATCTGCACGACGTACCGATCCCTGATCCTCAGCTTCACCTCGCTGGTGTCCGCCACCATCTTTACCACGTCTCTGTAACTGCACTTATCCACGGCTTGAGCCACCAGAGTCTGGAATCTGGACCGGATTTTGCGAGCGGAGAGGTAGCCAGACGCCGTGATGAACTCCACCCAGAGGGACATGCTCCTCTTGCGCCCGTCGCTTAACTTTAACACAGCGCAGCCCGGCAAGGAGCCGTCGTCCACGAAGTTGAAAACCCCCATTTGGTTCAGATACAGCACGACTTCAAACTCCGTGGGGGAGATGACTTCCAGCCCCTCGTAGCGATTGTCCATCTCGTTCAAGGAACTGATGAAGCGAGGCTCCTGCACCTCCACCTCCTTCAGCACGTCCGACACCACTTTGCAGACTTCTCGGATCGTTTTGGCGATTGCAGCTTTCCTGGCTTGGCATTTCTCATTGTAGTATTTATTCAAATGATACACCAGCTTGGCCTGGGCCGCGATCATGTTGGGGCAGAGATCCGGATTGTATACCGGAGTCTCGCAATAGGCTGTGGGATCCAATGCGGCTGCTATGGCTGGAGCCAACTTCAGAGGAGAAACAGGCTGCCGCACTCTGAAATGTAACAAATGTTTTTCAAAATGCGCCGGGGCTGCTGCTCCTCAGATGCTCTCTTCCTGCTTTTTTAGATCAGCCGTCTTGAAGTGTGTGTGGCGGGGGGGTGAAGGGAGGGGGAGAGGGAGGGGGACTGGAGGGGGCGATATTTTTCCTTCCCCTTTTTTTAAAGGGTCCGTGAGTGAGAGGAAAGCATCGAGAGCAGCACCTTTCCCAGCAGCAAGAAAAAACAAAAGTTGCACTGAGACACAGCGAGGGTTCCAGTAGTCAAAATATTAAAACCTCTTCGTATTTATTTATGTTTTCCCGTAGTAATCACCGTGTGTATGCAGGGCGGTTAATCAGATGGTGGAAAAAAGTGCCGTGTGTGTATGTCAGAAGAAGCTGGCTGTTGGTTTGTATAAGAGCCCAGATGCACTCGTGTGGAAATTATAAAGGCAGGGCCAGGCAGGCGGGCGGCCAATCGCCACTGGGCTCGTCACTGCAGCCTCTTTCAGCTCGAACCCGGCTAATTAATCCCTCTCTAGGAGATAGATATGTATACACAGCCACACGCAAACACACACGCACACGCAGGCACATATAGAAGGTCACCGGCTAGAAAGCCGCCCCGGTCCTCTGTTCACTCGGAAATCAAGAGAAATCGCTCTCCTTTGGGTGTAACTTGAAGGGTATTGACGTTTCGAGAGGACTTGGCAAAACTGTGCCGCTCCGTACTGAATCCCTGCGTGCCTCCTCATGGCCGGGACGTGAATGCAGGTGTATTAATGGGCATCCATCAACTAGGGAGCTACAGACCGGGCTCGCTCCGGCAGGAGCACAGGCGTAAATTCATTAACCCCCACTCGGCGTCACATCACGCTGTCCTTTCCCTCCCGATAGTTGTCTGTAACTGCAAGCGAGAAGTAGGTTTGGAATTTTTTTTTCCTCGTGAACCGGCCAGTGAACAAGGCAGCGGATTCACGGCAAATTTAGTGTTCTTTGGAATAAAATATTGCACAGAAGTCCACGATTTGTATTGTTTTAAAGGATCTTCTGACGGGCTCTAATCGATTTTGAGGTTTAATGCATTTCGGCATTGTCTCTGCCTTGCTTTTTGTATTTGTACCTTATGAAGGGAGAATCAATCGCTAAACATATCTGTCAGGTCTTTTTCACGTTCCTTCTAAAAATCAAGTAGCAGATACAGACGGTAAATCTCCTTTGCCAATTCTTAGCGTCGTTTTTATACTCTGTATTGCTCTCCGATATGTTGTGAGGAGTGGATGTTCGGCTGCTTTTCGAGACGCACTATAAGTACCTATTAATTTCAAACCTGGAGGATTTATCGTACAGCGAGCTGTGCTAGCAAGCTGCGCTTAGTAAATGTGCACACGGGAGGCACGCTAGCGACTGCAAACATGCTGGCTTGCTTGTCTGACAGTTTGGGGTTTCGCCTGTGTGATGTGCAATTAGCAAATTTCGCCTTCGGTACTTTAAGTGTTGGTAATCGGGACATTTATTTGCAAATAAGCTGGAGTGGTAAGCTCTTCTGCTTCACAGCATTTACTGAGCTTCACTTCAAGACAGCCCTAAATTTATATATATGAATGAAAAAAAAAACCACCAAAGCTTTTGATCGCTTGGAATCTTTAAACTACTGACCCATTACCTTTTCCTAAAGTAACTGTCATCAGTCGCTGAGGAGAAGTCATACCACAAAGAACATTTCACGACATTTATTCAGCGTACGAATGCGACCAACTTTATTGCACATAGCGGAGAATTTGTGACCGTGCGCTTGGCTCCCTCGGTCTAGCGGTTACATGGGTGTTCCCGTGCCGCTCCCGAGCAGGAAGCCGACGGGAATCTTTTCCTGCTCATGAGTTGAGCAGGGCTGGTGCTGTCGCTGAAAAACTGCAGGTGACCGGTGGTCCCGAAGCAGCTTACCTCTTCTCGGCCGCAGCCGGGAGAAGGGAGATCACTTTCTGGCTCTTTGGGGCGGAGAGGAGGCAGTTTGCTCCCGGGCTTTCTCCCTCCTCCGTTCAGTTTCCCGGCCGGGACACGCGTGCCTCCTCCCGGCCGCGCTGGGACCGGCGGCGGCAGCAGCGCAGAGCTCCCGGTGCCGGTGCCTGCCGAGAGGCCGCCGAGGAGCGCTGCCGCCGTCCCTGCGCCGGCCCGGGGCTGCCGCCTCCCTCCCTCCCTCCCTCTCTCCTCCCCCGCGGGGCGGTGGCGTGCGCGGCCGCGGCGCTGCGGGCTGGGGGGCCGGCCGCCCCAGCCTTCCCGGAGCAGGCGCTTCCAGGCGTTCGGGCTGGCTCCGAGGGCACGGGCGGGCGCCTCCCCGCCGCTCCTACCGGCGGCTGCCCCCGGCTGCGCGGGCAACCTGCTCTGCGGCGGGGGCGAAGGTCGGCTCTCTTCCCTCTGCCCTTTTCCCTCTTCCCCCTTCCGCGGGGGCCGGCGCACGCAGAGCCGGCTCGGCGGCACCGCCACCGGCCCCGGCGGCGGGCGGGGAAGGGGAGGCACCTCTCGGGCCCGGCACATCCCGCCCCGCTGCCCCAGGATGGGGCCCGGCACGACCCAGCCCGCCCCTCGGGCCCGGGGGCGATGCCGTGCCCTCAGACCCGGGGCGGCCTTGGCCGCAGCAGGGCACGGCTGGGCTGTGCACAGGAAGGAAAAGCGCTCAAGTCGGGACCAACTCCGGCAGGCGGGTCCCGGGGACCGGCTGGTGCGGGGGAAGGCCCGCGGCGGCCCCAGTCCGGCCCCGGTTCCCGCCCCGGGCGGCGGCCGCTGCTCCCGGAGCCGTCCAGCTCGACCCCGCCGGCGCTGCTGTAGCGGGGGCGGCTTCTTTGGGATGGAAGTGTCAAAGAGCCCCTTTCCCACAGGGTCACAGAGCAGCGCCGGGTAAAACCGAAAGTTACAGCGGGCGGACAAAAGGTTGTCCCTTCTTCCCTTTCCGCCGAGGGAACAGCCCTTTCCAGCGGTGCGGGCACCCCTCAGCCTCCCAGGGATGCAGGGGCCTCAGAGCCGCACGTTAGCGGTGGGCATGTTCCGGGCCAGGTTTTGCTTATTTTTGCCACCTGGGTTTTAACTTGGCAATTCCAGCTGCCAAAGGCAAAAGTGGAAAGGTCGTACCTTTAAGCTGTCAGAAGTCATAACATTCATGACCTGGCAAAATTAATTAAAGCAAAAATTACGTCTTAGATACTAAATCAGAGTTTTCAATGTGTAGTGCTAAGATTAAGCTATGATACCAAGTGATGCAAGGTTATACGTATTCATTGTATCTCGATTGCTATGAGAAATATTAGATTTAGGCTTGATTAGGTGACGTTTAACACTGAAGATCACTATTGACTCCACTCCATCATTTCGTTTCACACACCAAAGATTTAATAGTTTAAAAATATGTATGTTTAGGCATCACAGACACCACTGAAATGTGACTGGTGGAGTGACCCTATCGTTTACCGTGACAAGAAGTCAGTCTGGTTTAGACGTCGAAAATTATTATCTATATGACTACATATGATATAAAAATATAGATATTTTTCAAAGCTTTGAACACTTGAGTTAATTTTTCTCTGTAGTTATTAATGCATCCTTGGTAAACTACAAAAGGAACACTTTTTCAGCAATTAATTTTATTTCTACTGAGTTTATTGAGTATTAAGTTGTTTTGGAAAATCGGGATTAAAGTCACCTCATTAAAATGATGATTGATCATTTGTCCTGATAATGGTGCCATATGATATTGGTGACTTTTACCAAACTGCTGTTTTCCAAATATCTCCCTTAATTACGGGGTACTATAACAATATTTGTTGAACTCTGCTTGTTAGATCAAATCTTTCAAACTACATTGCCTATAGTGCTCATGTTAGCCAAAAAGCCAAATGTTGAAAATCTGTATTTGCCCTCATCCCCAAATTACAATTTCGGAAAAAAAACCAAAAAAAGAAAAAAAAAAGTTGCCATGCATATAAATTTAACCAATAATTTCTTTTTCATATGGTGAAAAGTGTGAGTTAAAAAGCACTTGCAGATGCATATCTACACAAAGGGCTTGCATGGATATCACTTTATATTTCTTATTATATAGTGATAGTTCTTCCACACACAACTGCTCATGAATTTTAAAGTTTTATTTTTTAATATCTGCCAATTGCACTAGGGAGGTAGGAAGAAAAAGAATGAAGCTGAGTTGATTAAATTATTTATCCCTACTGCTGAAGTAAGTTTGAAGGCTCATTGAATGTATCTGATTTCTTGGCTCTTCTTTCTCCCCTTCCCCCCTCAGTTCTTCCTGGTTATTTCATCCATATCATCCTGCCAGCAACAATAAATTCACTTTTTTTTTTTTCAAGTAAGAAAACTAAAGACAGATATTTGTGCTGGGTTTGCTATATGTGTCACATTTTATAAAATAGGCAGCATCTTTTTTGTGTGTGTGATAGAAGTTGACGGTACCTTCAATTTTCTGTATTCTTATTTTGTAGTTTACTTTTTGCCTCCGTTTTCAAATTTAGGAACAAACGAAAAGTTCAGATGTAAGTTACTATAATGTTTGCAATCTTTCAATTTTAATAGATTTATACACTTCATTGCTAAGACCTGTGGGTATCAAGTTCAGCATCTTTTGGTACACAAGCATTTTTCCTCTGTTGTGAACAGTTCTCTGCAAATTTTTAAATTTTTTTTTTAGAAATTATGACATAGTCCCTTTTACAGTACACAATTGGCATTCATTAGTGTTAAACTTAATGTGTATGTATTTGCTTTCTATTAAAAATTAAAGAAAAACATGAAGAGAATTTGCATTACTGTTGGACTTGGTCATCCTAGGTCATACAGATGAACTGTTAATGCTTTAAATTCCTCTAATCTGCAATCTGTTAAGGGAAAAAACAGTAAT